ACACATATATATATATATATATATATATATATATATATATATATATATATATATATAAAAGAAGATATAGCAGGATTGTCAAGAATCATCAAGGATCAAGTGAGTGGCTATCAGTGAGGTCAGAAGGTTCTCTAAATCGACAAAAAACGCATAAAATTTTTCGTAGAGAATTACGAGGATGTCTTCTACTTCTTCCTTTCTTTTCGACATTTGGTTGGCTTACCAAGTTAATGAGATAGACACGTTTCATCTTGATGATCGCGGCTGTCACGCGACGATGGTTGTGAGAGCGTCGCTTTTACTGGTATATGTGCCAGGTCTATATAAAAAATTAATGATACATTCCAAACGAACCATACGAAACTCATGATTATTGTTGAACATAATTAAATAGCGATGGTTAACTGAAAGTTGTAATGACGATATACCTGATAGTTGCGTGTTGCGAGGAGCGTGACCATCCAGCGATAAAGTTCACTTCGCCTCTCTGACTGATACGCTGCCGGCGAACTTGCGTGCTCTTCGTGGCGACGTTAAGTGAAACGACCTGCATGATGCTCGGCGCAACGACGGTGACAGCTTTGAATACTAACCTTTGGTTATTAACAGACAAGAAAGCAATTGAATTTGCGTTTTATGAGCACATCAATATCATATGATTATATCAATAATCGTAATTCACCAATCGTAATATACGTACCTTGGCGTTAACGCAACGACTGACGTGAGCACCACTGTGAGCCAGTACGTGTGTCGTGTAATAGCCTTTTCCATTATCCAGTAGGAACCGGGCAAACCCATACAATTGACGCAAACGGCATTGTAAAATAGGCAAAATCCGAAGAACACGCCCAAGGAACCCATGATGGCACCGATATGAATTATAGTCTAAAATAGATAACATCATGATGCAACGTATTATCCGAAACATATTGTTGAAACCGTATATTTCCCCGTTGGTGAATGCGATATGAGCTGTAGTGGCGCCTATCGTTGTATACTTATATATTAGATCGAACTGAACAAAAAAATCCTCTACCATTTTGCAATAACCATAAAGATTTTTAAATATTAATTAAAAGAGATTTGTACATTATCGCGCGCACATACACACAATCATGTAATAATTTTTCTCATTAATAACTAAAAATCGACGTGGTTACTTGTAAAATGATAAAGGACTTTTTGTTCTAATTGACTTAATATATAAACACACAATAGTATATATCGCCACTGCAGCTCATTTAGCATATGGTGCGTGATTATTCACTAATCTTGAGAGATGAGTCACACGCTGATAAATTTCGTGTCGTCAGAATGAAAGATATCTCTAAGATCTAGGATATCTCTAGGACCTTTAAATGTTGTAGTCACTTGCGTTCATGAATAAATAAAGATACACACGTTTATAAACTGACAAAAGTTATATATAATTAATTGTAGAAAAAACAATCAAAACCCTCGCTGATTTTACATGCATCTGCTCAGCTTGATAACCTGAATACAACTCTCTCTTTTCTACATGTTTTCTTCATATCGTGAAAGAGTCCTGGAGATGCATCATTTTTTTTTCGAACAATGTACGACTTGTCGACGTGTGGCTCATCTATCAACGATACGCGGCTACAACAGCATTTAGACAAAAATTTAGAGCGCGTCTTTTCTGATATCGTTAATCCTTTGCGATCCTATATATATATATATATATATATATATATATATATATATATAT